TAAACTAATATTTGAGAATATATTCAATATTCTTCTCTTTTGGATTGAGAGATTTTTTTTGTGTGTGTGTGTGTGTTTTGTTCGTTTGTTTTGGTACGGGGGATCGAACTCAGGACTTTGTGCTTGCGAGGCAGCCTCAGCACCACTGAGCTAAATCCCCAGCCCTTATTCTTCTCTTTTGGAGGGGGCCCTTTTTAAAATAAATCATTGACATGTCTTAAAACAGGAGTCCCAGCCAAGAGTATGATTTCTTGCTTGTCCTTCTAATGATGAATACCCTTTACCTCCAACCATGAGGAATATTTGACCAGCAATGGAATTTCTCCACAGTATTTTCACTGGATTGTCACAGTCAGCTATTGCATAAAGTCAGATTTACAGATTTACATAAGAATATGACCATTATTTATTAAAACAGCAACACTGTACCTTTCTGTAGTCCTTGCATTAATGAAAGATAGAAAGGTATACTTCTAATTCACACTGTTTTTCTTGGTATCTAATCTGACTTAGGTAGTAGCCTTTGTAGCAGGGCTTTATTTTTGCATTCCTTTGTTTTTTACAAGAGGAGGAGGTAAAATTCTCAAAGTAGAAACTGATTTCCTCTTCCTATTAATTGTTAAACCAAAACACACAATTTTTTAGGTTTGTTTACAAAAGGAGGAAGTAAAGTTCCCAAAGTACAAAATGATTTCCTGTTCCTATTAATTGTTAAACCAAAACTGCCAATTTTTTAGGTACTTGTTTACTAAACTGTATCCATCCTGTTTTCTATCTGGATTGTACCACATTAAATTTGTCTATGTAATTAATGTTCTCAAGTATTTTTATCTTAGCCACTTATTTATCTGACTTCCTCTATCAAGAATGAGTTCCTAACAATTAAAAGCTCTTAATGAACAGTTTTCCCACTATTATAGTACGTCCTACTTGCAAACTTCCTTTTTACTTAGGCCTTAATATGTATATCACCTGCAATCCACTTCTTTATTTTATTAAGTGGCCCACAAAACTAACTGGAGTTTTGTTGGGGAGGCACATATGCACAGCTCCTTTGGGTCTACTTCTTAACTCAAAACACAGAATATCATCCAGAAATGTCAATTCTATAATCCATCCTTAATATCATGTCCCTCATTTTATAATTTGTTCTAATATCTTCTCTTAACTCTCAAAACCATTTTCAGTCTTTATATTTCTTTGACTTTTTTAACCTAGCCCTTAATTTCCACTTTCACATACCTCTTTAATCTATTCATCCATTCCCCAAGCTATAAAATATTTTCAGTGTTTTCTCTTTGTTCCCTGCTCCCTCTGTATTTTTTGTTTAAAATAATGTTTTTCCCGTGTCTGATAAATACACACTACTACCTTCACCAAAAAAGCTGTCAATGTCATCTAAGTTAGAATTAATGAATACAATCTTTCTCACAATCTTACATTGCCATAATTTTCATATTCAATTACTTATATAGTTCTGTAGTGAATATAAAATGGGCTTCCTAATTAGATGACGTGACTTCAGATCCCAATTTTATCACTTCCTGAATGAAACACTTTGAATTATTCACTGAATTGCTCCATTTTTATCTGTCAAGCAAAGTAATGATAACTAGTTAAGAATTACTAAAAGGACCAAATGAGACAGAATATATAAAAGTGATTTGTCAGTTATAAAGCATATAAAATTTAGATATTATATTTGAATCATAACACAAAGTACTTGAAAAAATATCGATAATAATTTTTTTACTATACATTTTTAAATTCCAACACTATACTTTGCCCTTAAGAAGCCATATTGAATACATCAAATAAGTTATTAATTTCTTGCCAGATGCTAAAGAGATAAACTAACCTTGAGACATACATTTATAATGTATTTTTGTATGTATAGATTGTTAGCATCAATAAATAAGTTGGCTTTCTTAAGCTTGTAATAGTTATTCTAAATCATGTATTTTCAATCGCTCATAGAACTTTGGCTTTCGCCTACTTGTTTTGGTGACATTTTTATTAACACATAGGAAACAAATCCAAACAAACTACACAAGTTTTGAATCTTCCAAAATTGTTTGTGTTCTTGTTGTCAAAGTATGTTCCCCTTTTTTTAGAGGAGTATCCATAGTTTATTCTGTCCAAAGCTAATTAGACAAAATACATAAGTAAAGATGTGAGATTCTATGGAGCTGTAATTACATAGTCTTTTAGAAAATACTGAAAGTAAACAGTATTTATAAATTGCAATTTTGCTATCTTATCAATTGATTGTTGGTCCTTTGTAACAAAGCATTAATGAATCATTTGTTTATATTTTTATGATTAAATGGTAGTATTTCAAAAAAATATGAATGTTCCTTTAAAAAAGTCTTTAAAGTGGGAGATTTTAAGTCTTTTAAAAATTAGTTTAAGAAATGAATATAATTGCATAGTTTTTCAACTGTATTTCAAGATACTATGTATTAAAAGTTAATATGCAGACTATATTGTGAATAATTCTTTATATCAGAAATTTATTGTCTATTTTGATATGCATACATATCTTAATTATGACAGTGCCAGTGGCCTGTTACTCAAGGTTTTGAAATAGTTAAGTGGTCAACAGGTGATAAATGTTCCATTAATCTTTCTGACTTTCTAGCTCCTGAGCATTAGATTTGCTGATGAATCACACCAATTGTCTCTTAAATGAGCTTTTCACATGTGCCTCTTATTTCATTAGTTAACTGTCTTCCCAGAGATCTGATAAAATGGAATACCAGTTCCTTTTTACAGCTTGTTCTGTCTGTACAATAAGGATTGGGTCTTTAGCAAAATAGGAACAAAAGGGTATTTATCTTGTACCTAAAATAAATATACATGCTAGTGTCTACAAGGCATTTGAGACTCTTTACTGAGATCACTTTAAGAAAAAAAGTTTCATTTCAACTTTCTATTTAATGAAAACGAAGACCATGGAAATTTTTAGTAAGAGATACTTTTATTGATTACATTTGCTGTCATTAAAAAACTCTTCATTTTAAAATATTTTAATTTTAAAAGTAATGAAAAATCTTTAGAAATAAATTTTAAATTAGCAAACATCATGATTAATATACTCATCCAGATTACATCTTCCTGTATTTTGGCATTTAAAAAATAGCAATTCTGATCTGCTTTCTTATTATATTTTGTTGTACCGCAGTCATCCTTTTAATTGGAAAAAGGCTTGATGACTCGCTACTGTTTAAACTGTTTATACAATGTTCTGTTACTTTTAGAAGAGGAATACTACTGTGTCAGAGTACAACGAAGGTAAAATGAGCCCATGTACATATAACACTTGACACAGTGCACAGCAGATAGTAATTTTGATAGTAAGAAATCAATGAGTATTTGTGATTATTACATACACATTACTTCAGTTTTTCTGTTATCTGTTCTGACAGTTTAGAAGCATTTTAAAAGCCATGGGGAATTATCTATTTGTAAATTATTTTAAATTGGTCTTTTAGAAAAAAATTAGCAGGTTTTCTAGGATATTTCTTTGCTCCAAGAGACAATCATATAGCAATATATTTTGAGTAAAAGCAGTTTTAACTAGCTTATTAATAATTATCATCCCTCACCTTGTTTAAATGTTTTAAAATGCCTTGATCAATAATAACTGAAACATGAAGCTGTTTTTAGTAATTTTCACATCATCTAAATTAATCAGAATATATTAAATACATTTTAAAAGTATGTTAATGAATGTTCTCATTATTTTAGGAATTCCATTATAAGTATAGTTTTATGTAAGTTTAAGCTACATAATGACATTAGAATAGTGATTTCTGTGGTTGTAACTTCATTTGTCTTAATCTTTCTTTGTTGTAGGCCTTGTCTGTATGAAGTCCAGCACATCCGTGGTTGAGCTTGTTATGCTGCTTTGCTCTCAGGTACAAAAATCTCATTTTCTTGATTACATTAGTCAATAGGAGGTTTTTTGTGTGATTAACAAAATTAATTTACATGTTTATATATACATGCATATATGATGCATACATAATGCATATATAATCTTTAAACTTCCATTTATTATCACAGTGAATAAAATAAATTTCTATACTATATTACCATGTAAATACTATCTTATTCTCCATCTCCTACTTTCTTTGGCTGTCTTCATCGCTTGCATCCTCCCTATCCTTTCGTTGTTCCTTATTGTTTTATCTGCATGTGTGTGTTTGTGCGTATTTGGTACAAATTTACCTGTCTTCCTCAAGTCCCACCTTTTAAAATTTGGAACTTATTACATTGTGTCTTCTTCTACTATATTAGAAGTAATGAAAACTAAAGTTTTTTCATGAAATATTTAAGCAAACTAATACAGTTCATTAATGAATGGTCTTTGAAATGTAGCTTTCCCTTTTTAATGTGTACTTTCTGTATGTCAGTAAATCCTAAAATCTTACTTAATGCTAATCTTTAATAACTAGAATTCGAGATGGAAGTATATTTGTTGGATAATGTTTCTTTTCAACCACTATAAGAAATTAAATAAAGAGTATACACTACAGCAGTGATGGCGAACCTTTTAGAGATGAGTGCCCAAACTGCAACCCATAACCCACGTATTTATCACTAAATACCAACACTGCAATTAAACTTGAAAACTGGGGTTTAGTTTAGAAAAAACAGTTCACACATTAACATCTTTAGTAAAATAACATGGCTGCCATAGGTTTGCCACCACTGCACCATAATATTTCTGATAACCAAAATAGAAATTGAATGGTCTTTCACCAGCTATACCAACAAGTCCCCTACTGTTCCCAGTTATATAAATATTAAATATATTAAAATAAGTAATTATTACATTCATCCTTAGTTTCCTCAACAGTAAAAAACATCTAAGTCATTTAAAGGAATTTGCCTTATGTCTTCCTAAAACCACAGCTAACTCCCAAATAAACAGCAATATGGCTTCAAGTGATGCAATAAAACATCAACTAAAACAAAACAAACAAAAAACTTACCTTTTGATTTCCAGTTTTCAGGTTTACTTTCTTTAAGAATAAGTGTATAAGGAAATCACTAGGTCCTGTTCCATCTTTTTAGTCAAGAAAAATGTTAATATAAAAAGAATTAAAGAAAGCAGCATCCCTGGCAGGAGTTCATCTGCAAAGCGTTTGAAAATTTTGTCACTTAATGATAAAGCCCTGAGTTTGAAGGACATTCTGTGAGATCTTTCTGGACCTCTTATGTTCAAGAAGATCAATGTTTTTTGCCTTAGGATTTTAGAAGAAATAGTTTAGAATTCATTCTTCCTTAGCCCTGGGTTTGATTGCAGTTCAGAGAAATAAAGAGGAATGTAGCATTAGGATCTAGTGTCTTTGATGGCCTCATCATCTAATCATAGGTTTAACATTACTCATTTGCTGGCTCCAGGAATTCCTGCCATTAAGGGCCCTAGAGATGAAACTTTGCCTCAGATATTGATTGAAAGGAAGAGTGAGAAATTTAAGCTGTCTATGCAGTGCACTTTCAGTGTTTCAGTAAAGCAATATTATGACTCTCACTTTGATTTTTAAAATAAGTCATTATACACTGAAAATTTTAAATATTTCTTTTAGCATCATTGATTAAATATGCCTTATTTTAGTTATTTTTAAAAGTATACAAGTAAAACAATAGCTGCATTTGTTTTTTTTATTTTCTGTTAAGCTGAAATACTGCTTTATAGAAAACATTTTTAAACAAAAAATGAAAAATTCACTTCAATCCAATTTGAATGGGTGAAGTTTACTATTTACTGTGAAGTTTAATTTATAAAACTGTCATAATTGGTTGCTCCTTGGATATTTAAAACCTGGATTTTAAGGGCACAGAATAATAGAAATGTTTTTCAAATTTAAGACTGCCAGTTTTCTCTATTATTCAAATTCACAATAATTTATATTGTATTTTCACCTATTAACAAGACAAAAATAACAGTAGCAGACTTCTGAAAAGATTAAATAAATATCATGAATTATGTTATGGAGATTCTTAGCATCACTTACTCAAAAGCAGCATTCTTTTCTAAGGGCCTAATGCATCTCTTCTACAATGGAGATAATCCCTATAGATTTAGCACAGTTCTGTAGCTGTCTTCCTGCCAAGGCAGAAGTCAATCCTGATGAATCTTTAAAGCTGTAGACCCAGGCACTTTTTCTGCTGTACTTTGCATTCAGCCCTTTCAAAGTATTGATAGTTCCATATAATGTTGAAATGCATACTAATAACTAATAAAAATACTAATAACTAATAAAAATTAAATATGTGATAACTTTATTGGTTCTTTCTATATTTTACCACAGTGACAAATAGAAGTAAGTCATTACCCATACCATGATTTAATTGTTGCTTAAAATAACTTTCTAATGCAAGTAGAATTCCAAGTTTGTTTGCTTACAATATACTTTCCCTTCCAAATTTAGATAAGCCATTGAAAGATCAAATTTTGTTGGAGCAAATAAGCTAGAAATTGAGGAAAAAAAAGAGAAAAATGCTATGGTTTTTGCAGTATTTTGTTCTTTGATACACACATTAGATGCTTTTCTTTTTATGTTTTTCATTTTCATTTTGGAAAATTCATGTTAATTCTCTATATTATTAAAGATTTTAGGTTTTCTTTCCTTCTTATCTGAGCTCCTGAACGAAATTACATTTGCTAATAGATTGTGTCCAAAATATGGTCTAAATTTATATGAGATCATATTACAAGTTTCTGAAGGTGCTTGACAAGGATAATTCAATTCATATGGGCAGGCTTTTAAAGGGATATGATATACATTCTACTCCCAACCCTGTCCCCGTGGAATTTCACATCTCTGTGGAAAACGTATTTTAACTTTTAGGAAGATATTGCCATTATCATTATGATTTATTTGTTCTTCCTCAAGTGCTAAAAATAATTTTTAATCGCTTCTCGGCCTTTTGGCTAAGATCAAGTGTAAAAATAATTTTTATTACATTCTGGATAATTAATTCATCTAAATCTTAAGAAACAAAGATAAATGTTAAGAATTAACTTTTTATTATTCATTTGTAATATTTATTAAAATTGTAATTAACAGCATCTTTTAAAAATCGTTTCCTATTATTTTGAAGCAAAATTTACTACACTAAAATAATGGATGTATGTTATATTTGACGAAATCGAGTGCTTAGTCAGTGAGATACAATGTTTCCAACAGGTTCCTCAGTATATCACAATAATACTGTTATCTGTCATAGCTTTGCTTTAGGTTTTACAGTAATCTGTGCTTGAGGTACTTTCTATTTTTCTCTATATAGAGAATAGAAGACATAGTTTGCAAGTAAACTTCTTAAGGTATTATAATAGCTTCCAATTATTTCCAGATTATTTTTCTAGGAAGACTCTATGAGAAATATTCTAGGAGAAAATTGAGTGTTATCCCATAGGATTTCTTCAAGTTGTTATAAATAAAGCTTTGCAGATGTCATATGCATTTTTCTGTGCTTTATCTGTCAATAGAAAATATTTTATAAATTGAGAAACTTTAAGAAAGTCTTTCAGCATTTAAATACTTTGTGACTTGAAGCAATGACTAAACAAACACATGCTTAATAAATCATTTTTATTCTCATTAAAAACTGAAAATATATAAGTAACATAAAAGTCTTAGTTTAGGATCTATGCTTGAAGTTATTAGCGTGAATTATTTTGTGGTTTTGTTTGACTTTATTCCTTTTGAAATACTTCATATACTTAAAGGGATTTTTGTGATTTCACTGATGTGATCAAGGCATAACTCAGGACTTCTAAAGACAACACTTACAAAAGAACCACAACTGAAGAAAAAGCGGACTTCTCTTTTCAAATGATTTGGCTTTTGAACATTTAATTTTTCTCTTTTTTTTTTCCAGTTTAATGCAGTTAAATCAGATGGTACAAAACAGGAAGATATATTTCTTCTTCTCAATTTAATAAAAATAAGATTTAAATATAAAATGCATGCGATGACTATGGAGGCCTGCTAAATAACATTCATTAGTAAATACTCAGTATTACAACAATTTTTGTATGATAATATTACTAATTGTAAGAAAACCAGAAACAAGCTGCATGCTTTTTTCAGGGTCTTTTGAAATATCACAAAATTCTACTTATCATTAAATTATCAAATTATGTCACATTTAACTATATTATTTTTCATAGTAGCCATACTGCTTTCCATTCCCTCCAACAGTGTGTAAAAGTTCCCTTTCTCCATGTCCTCATCAGAACTTGTCCTTTATCTTTTTGATAATGTCTGTGCTTACTTCATTGAGGCAATATCTCATTGTGGTTTTATTTGTATTTCCCTTATAACATATTTTCATATACCTGTTTTCCTTTCCTATGTCTTCTTCTGAGAGATGTCTAAGTTTTTCTTACATTCTGGAAATTATTTTCTCACTCTGTTGATTCTTTTGCTCTGAAATCTTTTAGTTCCAGTTAATGTCATTTGTCTCTTTTTGGTTTTGTTTCCTGTGTCTTTGGTATCTTGTCCAAAAAAAGCCTTTCTGGTTCCAATGTCTTTAAGCATTTCTTCCATACTGACTTTTTCTGCTAGTTACACAGTTTTGGGGTCTTATATAGTGGTACCTCAGTTCATAAATTTAATTTGTTACAGATTTTGAAAATATAGGCCCATTTGTGTTTGTGTGGAAACAGTGGTCACTATCACATTTGTCACTAGATGCAGAGTTTGCAAACAAAAACAAAATTTTGCCAAATGCTTCTGTTTGTGAACTAAGTTTTTTGCAATGAAAAGTGTTTGTGAACCAAAGTACCAGTTGTAAGTCTTTAATTCCTTTTTTCCCAAAGAAATGGTTTAAATTCAACTTTTTTGCAATTTTCTTTGTATTCTCTCTCTCTCTCTCTCTCTCTCTCTCTCTCTCTCTATATATATATATATATATATATATACACACACATATATGTATATAAAATGATCACATTTATCGTAGGGAATTTGTATCTGTACCTACCTAATATATCTTGATTCTTCTTTTTTCCCAGTCCCCTCCCCCTTTAACCTCTTATCCTAAAAGCTTTGTTTCTATTTTTTTCCTTCTATTCTTTTTTTTCTTTTTCTTTTCCTTCCTTTCTCTCTTCCCTCTTCATGGCTTCTCTTACGATTTGAACAATTTCTTTTTGTTTCCCAATATCGGTCATACATTTTGGTCTTTATTTACTCTTTCAGTTCTCAGACCAGATAAACAATGTGATATTTATGCATGTGTATCCAATTCAATATAAAATTGTTTTCCCACATCTTTATTTTCTCATGTTTGTAGTCTTTACACTTGATTTTAGCCAAAAGGCTGAGAAGCAATCATGTTTTCTTTAAATTCTTCAGACATACAGCAATTTAGAAAACTAGTGAAATTAATATGTGTATATTTCATACTATTGCACATTCTTTTGCTTTTTGTAGATCTCTTTTAAGCTAGTTTATTTCAGCATACATTATTTCAATTAGCCATCATGTATCAAGTAGTTTTCTGTGTCCTCATTTTTTTTCAATTGCTAATTTCCTCGCAATAATTTTTTCAATGGTTATATTGTTGTTACTTAAATAATTATATATCACAGGGAGTTGCAAAAGTACTACATAGAATTTCATGTACTCTTCCCTAGGCTTTCTCAATAATAACATCTATGTAATATTAATACAGTGTTACACCCAGGAAATTAGTATTAGTAGAATTCAGTTGTCCAGACTATAGAAGACATTATTCCACTTTTTCTATTTTTACATACATTCTCTTAGATAGTATTAGTTAAATTGAATTTTTCCATATAATAATGCAATAATACTTCAGGTTCCAGTTAATAAATGCTGTTACTTCAGATCTTCCAGTTATTTCAAACTTGTTTCTTTCATGAAGCTTTTTTTAAAACTATATAGTTCTAATCTCTTCATCATTCCCTTAGCATTCTGATGCTGGACAGTAAATAGAGGTTCCTATTTATTTATTTTAATTGATTACTCTTTTACATGATAAAGAGATGGCTTTCTTTGTCTGTTATATTGCAGTTTTCTATAGAATAGACCTCATGTCCAGTATTTCCTTTTTTAATGCATTCTATGCAACAAGTTAATAAAAAATTTCATACAGCATTATCATAAAAATTATCTGACACTTTTTAAAATACTTTAAAAAATCTAAAATGAAATATTACATAACAAGGTGACATAAAAAATTGTAGAGACTCCTGTTTTACTCAGTGCTATGCCATGCACACCAAGTGTCTTACAAGTGTCTAACAGTAAGTCTTAATGACTTTTACTGAG